GTAATTCGAGTTCCGCGTCCGCCGGCGGCGAGTCCTGTCCGCCGCTCCCCGGCCCAGCCTCCTCCCACTCCCTCCTCTTCTCTGCCCTCCATCCCCTTCCGCGATTTACTGTTTCCTCACGCCCAACAGACACAGGCAAAGGCAACTTTCTTGCCGGCGTTACAAAGGAACCGGCCTTTGACCTCTCTTTGAGTTAACGAGATCGAGTTCTACTTCCCTCCGAGGTTTTTTTTTTTTTCCTTTAAATGACCCCCGCTCAGTTGTTCCAGCTCCGGCTCGGGCTCCGGCTCCTTGGAGGAAGCGGGCGCGTTTACCGAGCGCCGTGCGGCAGGTCCCTTCGCAGCCAATCACATCTGCGGAACCGCGTTCCGAGCCCGTGGCGGACGTTTGGTAAAGCTAGGTCCCAGCCGCGTTGGGAATCCGAACGTAACCCGCGGTCCGGACAGATCGGGTGGGCTGGGAAGGTACCCGCCAGCTCCCTGCGGAATTGGCTGGCAACTGTGCCAGGTTCCGGTGTTCTTGTTCCTTTGACATTTCCCTGCCTGAGAGCAGCGCGGAGGGGTCTGAGAATGGGCGAACTTCAACGTGTTCGGTTACAGTGTAATTAGATTAATGAGGATAGTAAGCTTTTAATGCAATGTAGGGTAATTATGCCATGATTTGTTGTTGCTCAGTGGCTTTTCCACAAATTTTCATAGTCTATTAGTAGATTAATTCAATGGCAGGTCAGTTTCTACTTTTGCGATTGGATGGATCCAAAAATGAGGACAAAACCCCAATTATCTGCTAGAAAAGAGGTTGCCAAGTGAAGACAGGAAGGCGCGTTGTGAGGTTGATGATAGCTTCCAATTTGTTATCAGTAGGTGTGAAGTGGTATCTAATCTCAAGAATGGCCTCAAAGGCTGCGAGCCACGTCGTACCGCCCTCGCCTTTGCCGGCTCAGGGCTGCCATTTTAAATTCACTTATATCCAAATCGCAGTTTGCAACTCTACTGGCTACGTTACGCAGAATTTCTAATTAGGAATTTCGTATCAACCACGGACACGTTAATATTCCACATGTTACAATGTGCTAATCAATGGACCAGGATAATTGAGGGCAAATCTTCGATCACTCCAGCTTACTTATTAGACACATTATGAATTGTACAAACCACTAGGTCCCTAATGAAGGATGCCTGTCTATTTTTACTGTAACTTTTCATTACTTATTACATACTATGATGACTCAAGTGGTAAACACACCTTCACTGCCCAAGATATAATCCAAGCCTTGTGTACATCCATAATATGCTTAATAATAGCTTCAGAGTTGCCTGGAGAAATGACTTTTTGGGGGAAGTTATCTGAAACGATTTTTAGATAATACTGTGGAGTAAATACTATTAGACCAAGAGTTTACCCTCTTGCTATTACGACATGTAATCCATGAAAGAAAGTTAATTAAATACTGGTAAACGTCTTTTAAAAAGTAATGCAATGGGAACACTGTTTTTCAAAGTATTTTGCTAACCAAGACCAACAGTAAGATGTTTCTTTTTCCTTAACCCAAGATTTAATTCGACCCCCATGAAAGAAGCATCCCACTTTATTTACCATACTTCAAAACACATAAGCCAAGAGTTAAGGATCAAATTCAGCTGTTTGGGTCTTTTCGCTTGTGACTTGCTATGATTTTTTTCCCCTTTCCTCTTCTACCCTCCATATCCTGTTCCTTAAGTACATGGGTGCTCCAGATTTTCTTACCAATAGAGGGCGCCCTCGAGTCACTGCAAATGCTGCTATAGTGAAATGGAACAGTTCTTTAGAGGGAAAACTTCATTTCTTCTAAGGTGCTTTATTGCTCCTCTGCTGTAAAATTTGACAAGCTCAAGATTTATAAGCCTAACAATTCACTTTTTATTGCTGCATAAGTGTTCAGCCGGCTAGAGGAAAATGTTAATTTTGACAATTAAACCTCAAGGAGGTTCCTATTTTCAAGACATTAGGTCAGTTGACACGCTCCCCGGGTAAATTCAGACTGTTAGCAAGATCCCAAATCGGCTTGGAAAGCAAGAGCGTGGTGAATGGTCGCTTATAGCGCACCCACTCCTCCAGCTTGTATGCTGCAAGTTAAGGAGGATTTTAAGACTCTACAAAGAAAAATCTGGGGAGGGAGCTAGAACACAAACATAAAATCTATGACTTATAAAAGTTTTACATTTTAATCAGAAAAAGAAATCGTGAAGTGACGGGTTGCGCAACTCACAAATCCCCCCTATTTCTTGCCACTTTTACTCTTTCTCCCCTCGTCTTTGTTTTCAGGAAAGAAAGATGAGATCAGAACAGTACAATTAGGGGACCCAGCAAAGCATCCCATGGTATGAACGTGCAAGTGCGTAGAATTAAAACACATGCCAGCAACATAAATGGATTCTAAATAAGATGCGGTTTCTTTTCCTGAACCTATACGTGATGCCTTAACTGCTCCCCTGTTGATATATCTCCATTTCCAGAAATCTAACATGAGGGTCTCTGCTTAACAGATCACCTGGGGGAGAGGAGCCAGGAATCAGACCCAGGGTTGTGATCTGTGCAACCTACTCTAGAGTAAGGGCTTCCCCGCTGCTCCCCAGTCCGCCGTGTAAGCAAAGCAGGGGCTGAAATAGCCCAGAGTCCGACAGTCCAGCAGCAAGCAGCTCCTGGATTGTACTTACATCATTCTTAACCCTTCCGCTCCTGGAGGGGGCTTGGCGGGATCAGGGGGCCCCCGAGCTCCGAAACACGCAGGACCTGGGTGTAAGAGAAGAGCCCCAGAGCCTGGCGTGAGCGCGGCGCCCCCGGAAGGAGAGGGCCCAGGGCGTGCGTGGGGCTCATCCCCCGAGCGCAGACAGCGGGCCCCCGCGATGCCTGCAGGCTCCGCCGCGGCTCGCACGGCTCAAAGCGGCAGGTGCAAAAAGCATTTGGGAGCCGCTTGCCAGCGCGCGGAGGTAATGCGCTTCCTGTCCATTTATCTCAGGAAACCAGTGCAGCCTTCCCTTCGAAACAAAATTAACCTCTCATTAGCCAGCCACTCACTCCCGAAAAGGCCTTAAAAGCTTTACCAGCTCGCTAATGTATTTAGGCTTTTCTTCCAGGCAAACGCAGCCGCGGCCGTGACTGCCATCAGGCCAGGGGGTTCCTCTGGGCTCCCCCGGGGAGCCAACCGCTTACCTCCCCCAACCTGAAGTCTGGGAAACTCTAGCCATCCCGATCCCGGTTTGTAGTACGGGTCAGACCCGACACCCCTGAACGGACTTCATGCCAGAAGCAGCCAAAACAATTTCCCACTAATTTCATGAGCGCCCCTCATCAAAACCTCAGCTCCCCTGTCCTCCAGGAACGGGGAAGGGTACCCGGGAGGAACCTCAGTGGCCAGCTGTCCCGGGGTCGTGGGCGCTGACTGCCCTTTGGAGCAGCAGCCCTGTCCGCAGCGGGTGCGGGAAGCACTGATCAGGGGCGTAGGGGTAGTGTGAACTAGGATCTAGCCGATTCCAGGAGCGGAGAATCAAATGTGGTTCTAGGTCCGCAAGTGGCAAAAAGGGGCCTTTTGGAGCGCTGGGGTTTTCTCACCCTGGCCCCCCGCCGCCCCGAGGCTGGCAGATTTATACCACACAGGTGGAAGGAGACCTAAACAAAACAGTCCCGGCCGCTGCCTGCCGCTCGCCCCCCACGTCCCCCTGGCCCACCGCAAACTTCAACAAAATAAACAACTCACCACAGGCATTCCCTTGTCTGCAGCTCGAAGCTTGCCAGCTGGGAAAATAAGCCGCAAGCCACGCGGCCGGGGCCGGGAGGGAGGGCAGCACGGCGCCCGCCTCTGTCCTCCAGGTGGGGGCAGCGGGACCCGGGGGCAGGAGCGGGGCTCCGCCTCGGGGGCCGCTCTCCCGGCTGCCCGACTGCAGAGCCAGCGCCGGGCGAGGGGCTGCGCCCTTCCAGCCAGCGCGATCTCTCCGCCACCTAGGGGAGGGGGCGGGGAGGCAAATCCCTCAATTCCCTCCCGCTTTCTCGAAGCTGCTCTCTCTCCCCTCCGGTCTCCAACAAGACCAAACCTAGGGGCCTCCACCCCACCCCTCCAGCACCACACCGCCCCCTGCCGGCAGTACCCGGATCTTTCCAGCGCGGCTGAGGAGTGGCGGAGAGCCGCGTCCCAGAACCCCAGCCTCCAGGTCCCGGCTCGGCTGTCGCCTCTCTCACCGCCCCCGCCCCCCAAGTCCTACACAAAGACGCCGTTTACTTTGCCAGCGCCACCCTCCGTGCCGCCCTCAGGCCGGCCGCGTTGCCTTTGCCCAACCGCGGGACCAACCGATTCCGGGTTGGTGACTGTGCCAGCCGTCGCCGGGGCAGAGCGGCAGCGGACGCGTGCAGGCTGTTCCCACTCGGCGCCTCGGCACAGGCACAGATGCGGTCCCCGCCCCCTTTCCATCATTTTCTCTAGCTATCCACCAGCGGCCACAAAATGCACCCCTTCCTCTCCATAAATGGTCTTTGAGGGTCTTCCTAGTATGTCTTAATTGTGTGTGTGTGGGGTGGCGGGACTGGTGCTCTGGACTTTCGCCGAAATAAGGAATCCAGCGATCTTTTCTGTCCACCTAAGATGCCAATGTGGCTTGAGTTTACAGCTTAAGAAAGCCCAGGATAACGATTTGGGAATTACGAGGGGGAGAGAAGATTGAGAGAGACAGTAGGACACAGGTGAGAAAGTGTGTTATAAAGAACAAGCCTACGAAATGTTGGAGGAACAACAGTCACTTGGATACGAGTAGAAGGCGTGGAGGGCCAGAGGAAAGCGATTAGCTTTCTTCTCTGGGCTGATCTTTCAAGGTTGAAAATAAGTATCACAGGTATTCAGCAGTGCTCTGCATTCAGTGCCTGGGACGAGCAGGCTGCTTCTCTTTTGCAGGCAAACGCTCACGCATCTTGACTTAGGTATTTCACTTTTTGCCTCCTTAGGACTGTCTCCGACCCTCTCCAGCTTTTCTTTGCCTTCTCCTGCCCCCGCTCCTCCTTATAGTTTCTCGGTCTAACGCTAGAGGCAGCATAGGGCAGTGTAAAGAGGGCGGAGTGGGAATCCAGCGAGGAGGTCTAGCCCTAACTCTCTGAGTAGAAGTCTTAGGCAACTGATTTAATGTCTTTGACATTGGGGTCATTGTCAAGAAAGGGTATGTTAGGGGCAACGGCCAGGTTCCATCCGGTTCTGAAATTCTATGACAAGGAACGCCTTCTTGCACCCTCTGTAGGTTCCCTTTTCAAGTGTTTCAAGTGTTGCTTTATCTTCTCCAAGTGCCAATCAAATAAAAAAAAAAATACTGGGGATGTTTTCAGGTAAATGGAAAATACGTTGAAAAATGCTCTTTTTGCTACTGAGAATAAACAAACAAAAAAAACACCTCAGCTCCTGGTGCACAGAAACTAGGAATTTTAACGTCCCCACTTGCTTTGCCTTTGAAAAGCCACTCCAGCTATCAGCAGAGCAGAGCTTTGATTTAACACCTAAAGGCGAGTCTCCCATATTTTTCTTCTCCCTTTCACCAACACAAAGACAAGCTGCTACGTAAAACGATGATGAACAAGAGTTCAAAGCGAGCCCAGAGAGCCAGCCCAGACGACGTTTTTTAATGCAGCCCCAGTCCTTCCCCACACCCCTGCTAAGCTGGCTTTGGACAGCACATAAATAGAGGCACAAGCTGCCAGAATCCCGTTCTCCCCGCTACCCTTCCTATAAATATTGGTCAGTGGAACCTGGATGCTAACTTGTCAATCATTTTGTAAATGCATTCATCAAATCAATACATTTTATTTTTCCTTAGCCCCCCCAGCACTTTCCAGGATTTTCGACTCACTACCCACTTTGGAACCTTAAGCCTTGGTTCTCCTTCTGAGCAACTTTGGCTGTTTTCTGTGGAATCTTTTTGGAAACCAAGACAAAAAAAGGATGAAATTTCATAATGAAGTAGTAATTTTTAAACTGCAAATCTCTTCTTCAATTTCAACAAGAGAATTTCAGAATTACTAAGCTTTCATAGCAATGCACACTTTTAAACATTTCCATTAAAAAGAATTCTTCAGTACACTTTCTTTGGGGGAGAAAAGGTTCTTTAAACAATAGTAGTGGAAAAATATTTTGAGCTTGTATAATTCTGTTGCATTCATTTCTATCAATCGCACCCCCACACTGTCCCATTTGTATATGCTAAAAAATGTTTATATTTCTAATTAGAACCTCGGTGTTCCATTAGTAAAAGAACATGGCTCATTTTTTTTCCTCAAAATTCTTTATCTTGCTCTATGCTCCACAGTTTTTTTTCTATCTCATTTTAATATTTTTTTTTCTCACACTAACCAAAATAAACCAAAGATGGAAATAGAAAAGGGACAAGAAATCACTTTTCAGTAAAATTGACTTAGTGTTTCTCTATTGACTGTAAAGAAACCTTCTGATGATGCGATGTGTATTTGCACCATCTTCTGAATTTCCACTTAAACATGATAGAACTTCAGCTTTTAAAATGTTCAGCTACTGTACACATCCAACTCTCCAGTTATCAATGTTACAGTTTACTTTCTTTTGATGTTTTTAAGTTTTTCCTTTTGCAAATTGGGGGAGTCATCTCAATTATCAAGCAGCATACGGATCTGTTTTCTAGTATTGTTTTGCTTTTCTTGCATGTTTTGTTGGAATTCTTCTCCAGTTTTAGATTGATGCCCAATTTAGTAATTCCTTTATTTACTTATAATATTTGAGAATTATTATTATTGCTATTAATTACACTATTTTAAATGTTAGTAGTACTAATAATAAGGTTGGTAAAGTATATTTATAAAATAATACTAGGAGAAAATGCTACTTTCTACATGTGATTAATAAAAATATTTTATTTAGTTAAATGTTATTGAAGATCATCAAGATCTTTTCTGTTTTATAGGATCAGTGTTTAAAATGAGTAAAAACATGAAGGATCTCGATCAGACCTACTTTTAAAAGGGTGAGAATTTGCTTTGTTTTTTTCCATTTATACAAAGATAGAAGACAGCTGTCTTGAATCATCAGCTCATGTGATGTTTAAGAAAAAGAATTCTGGTAAACTGTAAATTTTAAAAATGAAACCTCTGGCCATGTAGCTAATGAACAAAGAAAATTAAAAAAAAAAAAGAATATCCTTCAGAAGATAAAAACTATTACATTCTATCAGCAATGCAAGCCTGATTTTCTAGAGAAATCCTGCAATTCTAAAGTATTCCTACATATGTACACAATAAAATAGATAAATGAATATTAAATTAATAAAGTCAATACTCATGAAAAAGTATACGATGAAAAAAAATAGACAACAATCTCCTTGAAGTGCCAGGAGGAAAGTTATATTTTTGTGTCTACTTGCTGTTAGAAAAGCTCTTGTCATGAAACTTGTTGCCATTCAGTGCAGTGTGAAATAGGAGAATGGGAAAGAGCAGGGACTGGCCTTTTCCCTGTTGTATTTGTTGATTATTTCAATTGTGGACATTGTAGACACACACATACACATACACAGTCTTTTCTAGATCTTGTAATATAAGTCTTGAGGCAAAATATATATCCCCAAAATAATCACTCTTTTACATTGCATTTGATCTGTAAAAAATAAACTTCAAGAAGTTGGAGGGGCTGGCCCCGGTGGTGTAGCCATTAAGTTCACACGTCCCGCTTTGGAAGCCCAGGTTCCTGGGTTCGGATCCTGCCCTGGGACATACTCACTGCTCATTAAGCCATGCTGAGGCGGCGTCCCATATAGAAGAGCTACAACTCTACAACTATGATACACAACTCTGTATTGGGGCTTTGGGGAGAAAAAAGAAAAAAAGAGGAAGATTGGCAATAGATGTTAGTGCAGGGCCAATCTTCCAAACAACAAAAAAAAAGTTGTTGGAAAAAAACATTTTCAGAGAGCTAAATAAATATGGAGTTACTCTTCTGTGAACCAATTTAGACCCGCCGTGGTAATTCATAGTTTCTTCTAGAGGCAAAATGTCTATCCTTACACTCACCTCACACAGTGGCAAGAACATTATAAAAACATAACAGAATAGAATATACCAAAATCCTTGAAATTCCATGAACTCTAAGACATATGGGAAATTGGATACCCTTGATTCTAATAGCCAATACTACCAATTAAGAGTTTAAATAATAAAAAAAACTAGGTGTGTTCTAATATACAGATTATATATGTTTACACTTTACCAATGTTAGAGAAAATTCCAAGGAGATACATTTTAACTCAACTTAATAAACGGAAACAATGGTAGAACAAAAGAAATCGGTGTTCAAATAATCACAAGTACAAAAATAATAAGTATTCTCCTTTTTCTTCTCTTCTTCATATTACATCATCCCATCATCTCAGATTGTCCAAGCGGCATAAAGAGGCTTTGGCAGTCTTTGTGCCAGAGCAAGGCTAGACTCAAGCCTGAGAATGAACCGAGGGATGAAAACAGTGCTTGTTCGTCAGAAGTTTGAGTGAAATCGTTGTGGCTGAATTCAGGAGTGGGGCTTGTTTCCAGAGTAAATCTCGGGAGGAGGAAAGGATTCTCAGAGGTCTGGGCTCTTGATGCTGAGTTGTTAATGTGCTCTTCAGCTGTCCCAGCTGGGACTGTCCATCAAAGAAGAATGTAAGGAATGCATGACTGGTGCGGGGATCTATGTGAAATCGATGAAGTTTCCCTTTCCCTTGCCCCCTGGGGGTGGCGCGAGGGAGATGGGGGTGCACGTCCCCAGCCCCCTGTGGCAGGTGATCAGCATTCAGGATACTTGCTTCTTGTTAAAGAAAGGATCTGATAGGATTCATGCTCAAATATAAATCCTTTATTTAATTCTTTCATTAAGCAAATGATTTTTGAGCACCCACTAATGAGCCTGGCAATCTTCTAAATCCTGGGGATACTGCTGTAAACAATTCAGAAAAGCCTCTTATGGATGTACATTCTGGTGGTGGGAGAATAACAGGTAAACAAGTCAATAAACAAAATAGCTTTAATAATGCTATAGAGTTGAAGGAATAGGGGCTATGATAGAGAGTAACAAGGGTGAGAAGGAGCCACTGTTAATGGAAAGGATGTTCTGAGATATCACGCTAAAGCCTGTAATGAAATGGGGGAGGGGGTTCCAGGCAGAGGTCAAGGTCTCAAGGTATGAAAAATTTTGGAGTACTCAAGGAACAGAAAATACTGTGGCGGAAAGTACCTTACCTGGGAGAATTTTTAGCAATCTAAGGCAGAGTTCTTTAATTCTCAGTTGACATTTGAATGAGGGAAACTTTTTGGTTGTTCCTAAACCTCACGGAGATGAGAAACAGAAGTCGCATTTATTTAATTACTAGTATGAGCGACACATGGTTTCTGGCTCTTGGGGGTTTTTCTGCATCCTCACAACCTCTCTCTGAAGCACAGATT